CGATTAAATGAAGATGAGAAGGAAAATTTTAGAATATAATTAATTACAGCTGATCACACACTCCAGGAGGTCTGCAAGTACCTAACAGGCAATTTCAATATTGATGAAAATCACAAGGATGGGAAAATCATTCTGAAAATTCGGGAGGATAGAATTTATGTGAAATGCGAGAACGGGTTTGAATATTTCTCAGGTGAGAATTATCGAAATACGTGTAGGTGATGAAATCAAATACAAACAAACGATCGTGAGTGCACATGTGCTTGTAGGCCGGCATACAACGCATAATAATTAAAAATAATTTGCACTAGAAAATCTTGAATTGAAATACATCCAAAATGAAATACTATTTACAAAATTCATTTTATAAATTATTAAGACTCTGAAGAGTCAGTTAGCAAGTGTGTACTCGCGGTCAGTATTGCATGAACTAATTGACTAGCGTGAGCATGGGAGAAATGTTGCATTCTTGTTTCAAACATGTTCATCCGTCCTGGGAGTAACTATGCTCGCACTCGGTATACTAGTCTCAGGGCATGGGCCTTGGAAATTCAAAAACTTATAAATTTTATGACACTAACCTAAAAACTTGTGTATTATTTAGAGGAAAGGATGTTCACTACTCAACAATGGAAACGAGTTGTTGAGTGGTATGACGAGATGATGCTCAACAGTGAAGAGCCAGTGCCTCCGAGGACCCTACCAGAGCAAGCAACTGTTGCCTTGGTACACAAAAGAGACGACGAGGAAGACCAGTCTGGGGGGTCGAATCAAGATGAGAGAGTTGAAGATGCGGGAAATAAAGATGAGGGCCACCATGAAAATGAGAAACCGAGAGGGATGAAGATGAGTAGTAGCACGGCAACAGTTGGACCCCTGGGGAAAACAATCAAACAAAAACCGCTGATAACGAGCAATGTTGAGACAACTCTCAACATGAAAATCATTCCTCATGTCAACGCACCTGGCGGTGGAGAACCCACACAGGGAATATCTAGCTTCGAGGAGATTGTGACAGAGCGACTCGATAAACAAGATAATAGAATGAATGATTTAATGAGTACTCTGAAGAAATTTTGTGAAGTTGCGAGCAAGTCAACTGAGCAAATGGTTGAGCTGATAAAAACAATTAGACTTGAGGATAAGAGAGACAGAGACGAATTTAAAGAAACATTAACTAAAATGCCTGACGGTTACAACAGACAGATTAAAATTTTAAATAGAACTGTAGAGACTCTGGAGGAGATTTGCGAGAATAATGATGCACGACAGGCTTCAGACGAGAACATTACTGACAATAAAAGACCGGTATCGGGGGGTGGTTCTCGTAGTGAACAAGAAATCAGGAAGGTAATTAAAGAATATTTTGAGGAATTTTCAAAGGACGATACAAATACAATCACCGGTAACGGAGTTGATCAACTAGCGCAGGGCATTAAAAACAGTGTGGTTTGAATAAATTCAGATAGAATTGAAATTTAGAGAGAAAAAATTCCGATTCACCCAGCCGGGATTCGAACCCGGGTATCCCAGTTACGCGCCGGGCACTCTTATCGACTAAGCTACCGGGAACCACGGAAATTCTCACTCCACATTCAACTCAGCACGCCGCCTAACCACCTTTAGGCATTAAAAAAATTCAAATAGAATTGAAATTTAGAGAAAAAATTAGAATTAGAGACGATGTGAAAAGAAATTACAAATTAACGGAAAAAATGAAATTTGAGTATTTTTATGACTTTCTTGAATTTGAATTACGTACAAAAGAATTACTTCACATTATTGATCTAACAGTAGAGTCAGTAGGGACAACAGATGCTAGAACACTTGAAAAATTAAAATTTGAAGTCAGAGAGATCATGATAAACAGGTTGAATGATTATTATAACGAAAAAGTTTCAAATCTGCAGGATCCAGTCAAAATCTTAGAAACACTGACAGAATTAAAAAGATGTGAGGTTAATGTTCCACCCCGTACACTGAGAAAACAACTAAACAACATGATATTCGTTGCTGGGAAAATGACCGCGTTAGAGTTTATTGAACTTTTTGAACAGAAGATTAGATTGCACGAAAATTCCCCTAATACCGATAAATTGTCGGAAGCAGAGAAGCGTGAAGCATTTTATAATGCTGTCGCAGCATCAGTACCTAGTATCCAGAATATTGAGTTCTTGGCTCAGAGGGACACAAAAAAGAGCCTCTCTTTCGCCAATTTGAAGGACATCCTAAAAGATAACGAGGCAAGTCAAAATCAGGCAGCTGGCGATACTAAAAATATAAGAGCCGCGAACCTTGCTACAGATGGCACCAGATGCTATCAGTGTGGCTCTAACGGTCACATTGGTCGTTTTTGTCCAAACCCTGGAAAAGAACCTCTCTGTTACGGTTGCAATAAATTCGATAATCACATTGCAAGAGACTGTCCGAAATCATCTCGTGACAAGTCAAATAACAATTCAGCACACAGAGTTCAAAATTACTCAGGGAGATATTCTTGAGGGTCACATACCGGGCAATTAAAACGAGGTTTCAAGAGAGCAAAAGGTGAAGATGGGAATTCAGCAAACTCGAAAAGAGGAAGATTTGAGCCTCGCAGAGGCAGAGGACAAGAAGGATTCAATTCTCACAACAACTACAAAAGAAACTATTCCAATGGGAATCAAAACAGGTTCAACAAATCTTCAAGACAAAACAATCGAGACAAATCAACCGACGGAAATAACTCGAAGAATGGTGAGTCCAATTTCAATGATAAATTTTGTAAACATAATAATTTTTGTAGTACCAATATTGAAATAATGTTTGCTGATCTAAAACGAATGAACCGTGGTGAATACATAACTGAATTCCTTGCGGATTCTGGGGCGACCGAGCATTTGACCAATTCCAGGATTATTTTCAAGACGTTTGATGAAACAGATAAAGGGGTAATAAAATGTGCAAATAAAGATGAGTCAGCGGACTTGAAAACGGAGGGAGTGGGAAAAGTCGAGATCAAATTAGCTATTGGTGGGATACTAGAGATAGATACCGTGATTTTCGCAGAAGCTCTAAAGGCAAACTTGTTGTCACTCCGTAAGTTCGCAGAAATGGGTCTCGCTATTTATCTAGATAACGAAAAGATTGATATTTTCGATCCTAAATCTAATGAATCGTTTATCTCAGGTGTTTATCAACGTCCGTACTGGATAATAGATCTGGAAATCCACAAATCCGGGTCAGGCTTAGATAGTTCATCAAAAATAACCAATAGACGAGTGATAGCAAACTTGGCCGAAAATGATTCTGAAATGAGAGGATGTCTCACGCGAGGCATGGCTGCAAAACGTAATGGGAATTCTGAAGTTGAGGAAACAGACGGTCAATCAGGAAAAACTGGGGAAATAATAGTAGATGCCGAACCGAAAGTAAATTCAAATGAGAAATTAACTGAAGAAGTGAAATTAAATAATGCCGAGAAAATTGATCAGATTAAAGTTCCACATGAGCAATCAAATTATGATTATACAATTTGGGATCGAAAGGTCCATGATCTTGAGGAATTACCACATGAAGAGTCGAATGAGGAGGTTTCACCTTTTCCAAAATTAAATAGGAATTTTCTCAATAACAATAAAGCAATGTTATGGCATGAAAGGTTAGGTCATGCATCAACTGCATATCTTAAGGCTCTACAGTTGAAATTTCCTAACATCAAAGATTTGAGTGATGTAGTCTTTGATGAATCCATTTCGAAGTGTGAAGTGTGTCTAGTTTCGAAATTCAATAAATTACCATTTCCAACTGTTCGAAGACGTGCTACAGCACCGCTGCAAATCATTCACTCGGATGTGATGGGACCAATATCTCCAAGTTCGTATCCTAAGGGATACAGGTTTATTTCGGTATTCATCGATGATTTCTCCCGGGTAGCCATGGTCTATCCAATGAAGGCAAAAAGTGAGACCGGACATTGCCTAGAGATGTTCGTCAGAAGTTGTAGGAACTTACTAGGATATGATGCAAAATTCTGCTACCTTCGCTCAGATCAGGGTACAGAGTTTACTGGGGGATACACTGTGGAAGTGTTGAGGATGTTGGGCGCAGAGTTACAGTTAGCCAGTCCAGATACTCCAGAGCACAACGGCGTGTCTGAGCGCTTCAATCAGACTATCCAGAAGAAAGTTAGGTTCTACATGTACGATGCCAAGTTACCAGAAAATCTATGGGATTTAGCTCTGTCAGCCACTGTGTAACTTATAATCGAACTCCTCACAAGTCTAACGATATGATAACTCCTTTAGAAAGATTTTATCCAAATCACAATTTTAACATCGGACAAATTAAGAGGGTTGGTTGCGTTGCATTTGTCAAAGTACAAAGGAAGACAGGTCCAAAGTTTCGAGCTGTAGGCATACGAACTATTTTTGTCGGGTATACTCCAACGGGTTATTTACTTTTAAGACCCGAAGAGGGCAAATTTTACGAAAGTAGACATGTTCGTTTTGATGAAAAAGTAGTCTATGGAGAAAAATACAAGAAGAATGAAATTAAAAATTTTTCACCTGTAGATGAAGGTATTAATAATGATGAGTGGTTCGTCAAATTTGATGAAGTTGAAAAGGAAGTTGAGAACTTTTCAAAATCGGAGAGAGAGTCCAAGAGAAAACGAGGTAGACCTAGGAAAAATAACTTATCAATTGACTCGAAATCTAAAGAAGAGACGAAGACAAATGACATAAATATTAAGGACTGTAGTTTTTCAAATCTATCAATTGACGAAAATTTGAAGGCAAGTGTAGCTCTAGCATTCGCTGCCAGTTATGAAGTCGAATCAGAGGTAAATCGACTAAATGATGACGTTGGCTATGCACTATTGTCGAGCATTAATTCCGATCCAACTAATTATAAAGACTAATAACCAACTAATATAAAGGGCTTGGAGACTAGCAGTTGATGAAGAGTTGAAGTCGATGGAAAAGAATCACGTGTGGAAACTAGTTGACAGACCTATTAAAATGAGTAACGGTAGGAGGTTGAACATTATTGATTCAAAATGGATTTTCAAACGAAAACTCGAGGCTAACGGACAACTGAGATTCAAGGCTCGTCTGGTAATTCGGGGATTTAAAGACAAAAATGTGTATGAGTTGAGTGAAACTTATGCACCAGTTTCGAGGTTATCTCTGGTTAGGGCAGTGATATCAATAATAAATAAGTATGACTTGGATGTTTGTCAGCTAGACGTTAAAACAGCATTTCTGAACGGTGTTATTGACGAGGAGATCTTCATGGAGATTGCGGATGGAACTCCACATACCTATGAAGAAAGGAAGAGTCTCGTATGTAAATTAGAACGAGCTCTTTATGGTTTACGAATCAGTCCTAAACGATGGAATGTTAAATTCACCGAGATTGCTCTCAGCATGGGACTAGAGAATTCTGATGTGGAACCATGTCTGTTCACATGGAGAGACGAGGACAAATTCTTGTTATTACTTTTGTATGTTGACGATATTTTGTTGGCAAGTAATGATAGGTCGAAGTTGGATGAAGTCAAATCCAAGTTGAGTTCCGAGTTCGAGATGACTATTTTGAGAGAACCAAAAGAGTTTTTGAGTATTACATTAAGACGAGATAGAAACAATCGAAAAATTGAGTGTTTTCCATACCAGCCGGGTGGGTTCCGGCGGTTTCTGTTAGGCGGTGTTTGAGGTGAATTTGAGTGTGAATTTGAGAGTGGTTCCCGGTAGCTTAGTCAGTAAGAGTGCCCGGCGCGTATCTGGGAGACCCGGGTTCGATTCCCGGCTGGGTGAAGCGGAAATTTTTTCTCTCTAAATTCTAATTCTCTTAGAANCCCGGTAGCTTAGTCGGTAAGAGTGCCCGGCGCGTATCTGGGAGACCCGGGTTCGATTCCCGGCTGGGTGAAGCGGAAATTTTTTCTCTCTAAATTCTCATTCTCTTAGAATTAGAATTGAGAATTGTTTCTTGAATTGAATCAAGAAAAATACACTAGAAAAATAATCAAACGATTTGGATTCGAACAAGCGCATCCTCAGAGAACTCCTATGGAAACTCATCAAGTTTCCAATAACAAAAGAAAGAGGAGAGAAAGCGATGCTGACGACGAGATATTGACTAAGACTGAAACGACAGAGAACATTCCTTATCGAGAGGCAATTGGAAGTCTTCTGTATTTGGCTGGTGCCACAAGACCAGACATTTCATATACAGTGAAGGTTTTGAGTGGGCATCAGATTAATCCAACTGATGCTGATTGCGCAATGGTGAATAGAGTATTTTGATACCTTAAGAAGGGTACTATGTCATTGGGCTTGACATATGTTGGTGAAGCAGAAGACATTCAGGGTTATACAGACTCGAGTTTTGCAGATTGCAAAAATTCATTGACGACGTGTGGGTTTGTAATTCAATTGTTTGGGGATTCAATAGTCTGGCGAACTCACAAACAATCATTTGTATCATTGTCTACCTGTCAAGCTGAATACATAGCGATGAGTGAAGCAAGTCAGGAGATGTTGTCAATATACAACTCGTTAAAATTAATACTGATCGAGCCTCCACTTCCTATGACACTATGGTGTGATAATCAGGCTGCTATCATTAATGCAGAGACAAGTGGAGGAAATAAACTGAGACATGTTATTGAAATCAAAGCTCATTTTGTTAAAGAATGTATCAAAAGAGGACTTATAAAAACTAATTGGATTCAATCATCAAACCAACTGGCTGATGTTTTTACAAAACTTCTGTCTTTTATTTTACATAAAAGACTAGTGTAGATGAAATAATGAATGCCAATATGTAAACACTAACAATTGTTTTCTGTTTAATTTAGGAACAAATTGATTACGTAGGCCACACCAATCTAAATGACGAAGCATTACTAAAGAGTTAAATTAAGAAGAGAAATTGAGTATCAGAGATGACGGAGACATGCGGGAGGGAGTGATGGATATATAGAGTGCCTGTCGCCGATCTCTGTTACCGACACAGCGCTGACGGGGCGCCGTGTAGCTTGAGCGCTAGCACGTCTACATGTTCACTTGTTCATGCGCCACGACAAAGTGTGCCACGTAAAATAAAGCATTCCGTATATTCTCGTGATATTGTGTTTTTTTTATTAATCCGATTCTTCCCATAAACCCATCATTACACAACAAAGACGTTTTTTTTTGCAAACTTTTCTCGATAAAAATAATATCGATGTAACATTAATAGGCGAAACGAAACTAAACAGAAATCATAAAATAAAATTCGATAATTACAATCTGATTAGAAATGATAGATCTAATTCAAAGTTTTCAGGTGGAACGGCAATAGTTATCCGGAAAGATATTGAATATAAAATCATTAATTACCCAAACTTGATTAATAATTCGATTTTAGAATACATGATTATTAAAATCGAGACAATAAATTCGAAATCTTTGCTTCTCATTAGTGTTTACGCCACCAATGCCATGAATAGAAAAAATATTTTTCTTGACGAATTGAATATTTTATTCAGAGAGCTCAAATTATACGAAACTAATAACTATTTCCTTATAATGGGAGATTTTAATGCTAGACATAAAGATTACGGGGATTCCAAAAACAATGACAGAGGCCAACACCTTCGCGGTTGGCAGTTGGCTAATGAGCATAGGATGAAACTAAATCTCATCCCCCCTGATAACTTTACTTTTTTAAGTTCTCAATCGTATTTCGATTTAGTTCTAAGTAATTGTAGGCTCTGCATCACAAACCTAGTAAATAACAAAATTCCTACTCATAATTATGACAGTGACCATAATGCTATTGCAGTTCAATTAGAGTTGAATTACTCAATGAGCATCAACATATCATCTGATAGTACTCAATTCTATATGTACAAAAACACCAATTGGAATTTATTTACTGAGTATCTCAAGGATAATTATATAATTAATATTCCTGATAACAAGAAATTGATAATTATATTCAAGAATTCAATGATTCCATTATAGCCGCAATAGAATCACATGTTCCCAAAGCAAATCCCTCGGGGAACATTTATAAATACTCGAATAAAACAATCTTGAAACTACAAAAATCCAAATCAAAAATATTAACTTTATATCACAGATGTTTGACAAGAGATCCAAAGAGACAAAGTACGCAAACTCAACAAGTACTAAATTTACTTAAAATCTGTGAAAAAAATTAAATAATGCTTTCGCTTCTGCAGTTGAGAAATACGGGCAAAATATCCACAAAAAACTAGACTTTCGAGATACTGAGAAGTTTATGCCGACCATAAATAAGATTTTTAGACCGAAATAAAAACAATTGATTAAAGAATTGAGAATTGATACCAATAATGAATCACTAATTCATCAAGCAGGTTGCGAAGTCGATAAATTACCAATAGTCAATAATAATTACATCGTCAGCGATGAACTTGACTTGATTAACACAATTGGAGCATATTACCAAAGGATAAATTCACCCCGTTATCTCAACGAATATACTCGACTGAAGGAATTGATCGATAATAAGATTCGAGATTTTAAAAGAGACTTGAATGGCGATCTGGAAAACAGAGCAACCGTCACTAAATTCAATCAAAACAATAGGGCAATCAAAGCTAAGAATAACCCTAATTATGAGAATTATTTTAAGGATAGTACAGCAATTAAACTCATATTAAAATATCTCCCCAATAAAATCTCGAGTGGGATTGACAGAATCCCACCAATAGTTATTAAACATCTTCCTGAGAGAGTGATAATTGACCTCACCATAATATTTAACAATGCATTGAATAATTATTATTACCCTAATGGATGGAAAACTGCAATTGTCATACCTATCCACAAACCTGGTAAAAACTTGACAGACCCAGCTAGTTACCGGCCAATTAGCATGACTCCTTCATTAAAATCTATGAAACTGTCATCAATAATTCAATAATGACTCATGTGAAAAAAAATAATTTAATTCCAGAATTATTTTACGTGTAGCGTGGAGTATTGACACTCCACACTACACGCAGTGAACAAATTGTTATCTGACACAAATGATCAATTATTTAGCAATAAAATGGTAGGAGCGGTCCTTCTCGACCTTGAAAAGGCGTTTGACTCGGTGTGGTTAAACAGTTTAATATACCTTCTAATGAAAAAATAATTCCCCATCGATTTAATACGGGTGATATGGGACATGACCCACAATAAAAAATTCAGAGGCATCAACCATAACCACTCTCTAAGTTCAACTTTTCAAATAACCGAAGGACTACAACAAGGAACGATCAACTCTCCTTGCTTGTTTTCCCTCTTCACAGCTCACACGATTGACTCGTTCAATCTTAACTCAGATAACAATACATATTCACTTGCATACGCTGACGACACAATAGTCTACGCGTCGGGCCGAAATGGAATTGAAATTGCTGAAATTCTCAATCCCTTAATTAATAAAGTTAATAATAAACTTTACTCAATGTGGAACTTAAAAGTCAATCCGACCAAAAGTGGAGCTATATTATTCCGCAACACCCAAATGAACATGTCGAGAAAACAAATAGCGAGCATAAAAAGTTTCGAAATTACAATAAAAAATGAGGAAAACGATGAAGAAATAATAAAACCTAACAAGAACACAGTTAAATACCTAGGAGTACACCTTGATTATTTAACTCGTGGCTCGAAACATATAGATACTCAAATAGAGAAAGCCAGAAAAAGATATAAATCTTTAGGCTGTCTCTTCCATAATAAGTTTATTAACAAAGAAAATAGAATCATAATAATGACTCCGATAAGTAATTATTATGAANTCTCGGTATAGAATAGAATAGAAAATGTGCGGCTGGTCACTTAAAGCGCCCAGAGTCACCTAAATCATACGATCTTTTGTAACTTCCGCCTTAGTTTCGGTCAGTCACACAGCCGCAGCCCTGTGTTTCTCACTAGGCTAATAAGGCGGGTGACAGTCGCTTGTTGTAAGTCCTCTGGTTCCAGGAAAGCCTGGCCCCAGATTTTATAGCGACGGAGTCCTAATAGGGGGCATTCATATAAAATGTGGATCACGCCCTCCTTATCGCCTCCGCACAGTCTGCAGTCTTCTTGTTCTGCAAGTTTCATCTTGAACAGATGAGTTCTGAGAGCTGTATGACCCGTAAGGAGCCCTACTGCTACCCTCAAATCCCCTCTGTGCAGCTCCAGAAGCTTTCTGGTCCTAACTCTTAGTTACCCTCTCATAAGCAGTTTCGCTGGTCTGCAGGTCGCAACTTTCTCCCAACGCCTGACATGATCCCGCTGGAAATGATCTTTAATAAGAGTTTTTCCCACTGCGAAGGGCATGCCAAGCAGGCCGTGTGAGGGCACCCTTTCTGTACCCTCCTTGGCCAACTTANTCCATCTACAACCAGGTTCCATAGCAGGGGCGAGAGAACTCCCCCCTGCGGACAGCCCTCAGTCGGAANCCGTAAGGAGCCCTACTGCTACCCTCAAATCCCCTCTGTGCAGCTCCAGAAGCTTTCTGGTCCTAACTCTTAGTTACCCTCTCATAAGCAGTTTCGCTGGTCTGCAGGTCGCAACTTTCTCCCAACGCCTGACATGATCCCGCTGGAAATGATCTTTAATAAGAGTTTTTCCCACTGCGAAGGGCATGCCAAGCAGGCCGTGTGAGGGCACCCTTTCTGTACCCTCCTTGGCCA